ATATAGAAGCGTGCTCGACCTCATCATGGCAACCTGCACAGCAGCGCTGGTAGGCGCGATGAGCATCATGCCACCTGACCCGAGACAGGTCGCAGGCATCATACCGAGCGTGTCGAGACCGTGTCCTGATGTGATCTGCACGGGTGAGTCACGTCGGCGTCAAAGGAGCGACGTGCGACCTGTCAGAGCTTGATCACCGATCACAGCTGCCTCTGCGCGTCCTGGGGATGTACCTTTGTCGCGCGCCGGAGACGACTCGACGCCGCTGAGATCGGAGATCAAGCTCTGACAGGTCGCACGTCGCTCCTTTGACGCCGACGTGACTCACCCGTGCAGATCACATCAGGACACGGTCTCGACACGCTCGGTACGACGCCTGCGACCCGTCTCGGGTCAGGTGGCACGACGCTCATCGCGCCTACCAGCGCTGCCGTGCAGGTTGCCACGACGAGGTCGAGCACGCTTCTATACGCTCGCCGAGCCTTCCTTTCCATCCCATTTGGCAGCCTGGGAACGGTGGCGGTCAGAGGCAAAGCATACGAGGGGTGGTGGAACCACATGTCACGGCTACTGCCGGCTCGACCCCGCGATAGCCTCCGAAGGCTGACTTTGAGGCACCATCATCGGACGATGTCGACGAGTTGGGTCGCTCTCGCGGTAGCCAGATGACCTCCCATGCTAGTACCATCGGCTAGGGCCGCAGGAAGCGCGGGGGAGGGCGCTGGGAGCAACACGGAGCTCCGTTGGACGTTTTCAAGATTAGCGTGTCAGAGTGAAATGGAACTAGCCTGTGAGATGGGTAAAAAGGAACAGGCCCCCGCCCTTGCGATCTTTAGGGTTCTTTGTGGGTGTGGTCGGCGACTAGCCGGGGTCGTCCTCCCGATGGGGGACTAGCACTAGCCGTCTTCCACATGGTCCCTCGGGTCCCTGCTGCTCCTAATCTCTTCGTACATCCTCCTGCTGATCTCCGCAAAGTCCTGCTCCCTCCCTCGTCTCGCCCTGCGCGTCTGCTCCGCCTCACCGTCTTCTGCCCTGCGTCGTCTGGCGACGGGTCCTCCATAGTCGGTCGAGGTCGCCGCCCTCCTCGTGCCTCTTCCCAACGTTCCCTCGGCGGCCGATGCCGTCTGCTCCGGCTCCCCAGTCCCCGGCTCTGCCCTGCTCTCGTCTGCGCTAGTTTCTGCTTCGTCCTCACCGGCATCTTCTATCTCTGTGTGTGGTGACGCGAGAGATTTAAGTAGAGACCGTGTGCAGCTAGCATTACAGCTCCTTTTTGGGGGTATCCGCTCTCTCTACTTGAACTGTTCCTTTTATTTATTCAGATCTGGTGGACGTCGCCCCGAATTGCGCCGCCCCGCGCCCACCGCCCGAGGCACGCCGCGCAGATAGGGCAGCGTGCATGCCACCATCAGCGGGCTCGACACGGAAGTCAGCAGCACCACGAGCCACATAAGACGCGGCTCGCCTACTCAATTCGGCGGGTGTCGATGCCGTCTAAGGGGCCGTCAGGTCACGTGAGGCGTGGCTATGCCCTTCCAGCCGGTGCACTCCCGACAGCTCGCCGGGCAGTGCAAGCTCGACAGGTTGGCGGCGGTGAGCGCTGGGCTAAAGCCGCGCCCGGCACAGACGATCTTCGGCGACACGCATGTGGCGTGGTTGTCGACTGCCGAAGGCGTGTCGCAAAAATGGCCCAGCTTGTCGCGGCAAACCTGAACGCAAGCCTCGGCATGAGAGCCGAGCCTGCAGCTGACGATGTCTCGCCAAGGCCTAGCTCTTCGCGGCGCCTCGCAATTTGGGTTGAAGGCCGCGTTGAGCAGCCTGTTTGCCGCATGCAGAGTGTGAACAGTGCTCTATTCACAGCCTCAACCACAGGAGGTCTCCTCGCCCGTTGAAGGCATTGCTCGGGATGGTGGTAATGAGGCCCTTGAGCGACAGCAGCGCCAAGAAAATGCCCTCTCGCCCCTCGGGCGCCAGGCTGGCCACCCACGCCGACTGGCGTGGCGACCAGATCACCTGGGGGGGGGGGGGGGGGGCGAGGGAGAAGGAGAGTCCGGAGGGTGTACCAGACATCCGCAGACGGGCCAGAGAGAGTCCCACCTCAGACCAATGGACATGCGCTACGGCGTTGCGGTAGCGGTGGCAGACGGCGGCGGTGGCGGTTCTACTGCTCGATCGCGTTGTGCGGCATTCCAACGATGTCCTCGAACCTCCACCGCCGCCGCGGCCCCTCCCTGCGCCCGCCCGCGGCGCTAGTTGATGCGGTCGCCGGTGACGCGGTCGTACTGCGGCCGGTCAGACGAGGGCTTGCGGCCTAGGAATGGGTTAGGGTTAGGGGTAGTCATACTGCCACGGCAGGCGAGGGCTTGCGGCGGTTCACACCCACGCGTCGTGACGACACGCGATTCACAGCACGCGAGGGTGGGTCGGACGAGGGCGTGTGTCGTGCTCCGGTGTGGCCACCCCTCTGCCCTTGCGGCCGCCCCCCTCATGTCGGTGCCCCGTTCGACAGACTGTTTACTATGTGTCCATCTAGGGCGCGCAGCCATAGTCGCGGCCTCCGAGGTACGACGGGCCCGAAGGGCGACCGCCGTACGAGCCGCCCGACGAGCCGCCTGCTCACAGCTGTCCCGCGTGAGGAGGCGCCATTCAGACCGCCGCTTAACACACTGCCAAGCCGCCGTATGAGCCGCCGCCGCCGCCGCCGCCGCCGCCGCCGCCGCCGCCGCGCCGATCGTCCCGCCCGCCGCCGTACCCTCCTCCTCCGCCCCCGCCGCCGTAGCCACTGTCGCTGCCGCGGGGGCGGGGCTTGTTGATGCGCAAAGTGCGGCCCATGAAGTCTTTACCGTCCAGCGCCGCCATCGCGTCGTCCGCGTCCCGCGTCTCTTCAAACGTGACAAAGGCGAATCCGCGCGGCTCGCCCGTCTCGCGGTCCTTTGGCATGAAGCAGTCCGTCACGGTGCCGAACTTGGAGAAGGCCGCCCGGATCTCATCTTCGGTCGCGTGGTTTGGCATCGAGCCGACGTACAGCTTGGCGTCCTCGTTGCGGCCAAAGTTGTTGCCGCCGCCAAACGGGCCGCTGCCGCCGCCGCCGCCGCCACCGCCGCCGCCACCGCGGCCGCGGCTGCGGCTGCGCGAGCGGCCGCGCGACGGCGGGCTGCGGGAGCGCGAGAAGGATCGCGGCATATACACAACTTGTCAACTGCCGAAAAGTATTCCTTCTGCTCACGGGTTGTCAAATCACAACAAGGACAACGGGACGTCGGGGATCACAATGTGACGACCAAAACGATCTTGGGGGCCAGGGTGAGACAACAGGTCGGGGTGCCACATGGGGCACACCACAGGCGTATTCTAGAGGGGGAAAAGAAACGGGGAATGAGGGGCCCCGCCACGAGAAGTGCGTTCTGGGGATGCAGAGCGTGCAAGGCGGCTAGGGATGAGGCCACAAAAGAGGCGCGCGAGGCAAGGAGGAGACGCGGGGAACTGAAAGACTGGGACGACTGGAAACAAGAAGACAGTGAGCCACCACAGGCGTCGTTGGCGCATATACTGAGCGGCAGCTGCGCTGGAAATAAGGAAGAGGCGCGTCACTTCATGCGGAAGCTCGACAAACACACAGCGAGGGCGACAGCAAGAGTTGAACGGGAGGCGCCGGACTCAAAAGACACCGCCACATTCCTGAGACGAGCGAGGGCAGCCTCCTTAAAGGCGAAAGGGTCTAGATTTGGGGCGCTCGCCGAAGAGGAGTACGACAAAATAGCACCCGTGATTGCCTGCACGCTACCCGCACTCACGGACTCCATACCCGAAAGAAAGAGAAGGGAGCTCGCGGGAGAGGTGACGAGTGAACTACAGGTAGTGGGGAAGGCAGCCTCGATTGCCATACAGACATGGGTGCGAAACAACGACAAGACCAAGGCACGGGCAGAGGAACGAGAGAAGAATATAGGGTGGATAAAGCGCCTGTTCACGGCATGGAGGGTGAGCCACACCGAACGTACCGAGCGAAGAGCCGAGCGGAAGGAGGACGGGGAAGATGACTCAGAGGAGGACGAACCAGTGGAAATTCAGTTGTCAGATGTCACGATGCATCCGAAGGGGACCCCAGCGCCGGCATCATCCGTAGAGGCACGAGTGTTCGAAGAGAGAGTGGACCTGAGCAACAACATGACTTGGAGGCAAATGATCGGAGTGGGAGTCAGAAATGTGGTCCTTGCGCGAGGGGAGCTCGATAGACTCGAGGGGCCAGGATACGCCGCAAGGAGGACGGAGTTGCGCCGAGAGGCGAAAGAAGCCGCGAGAACAAGGGACCGGCAGGCGGCGGCGTCGCAGGACGAGGCAGAAGAGAACGACGCGACAGAGGAGGAAGTGACAAGGGAGAGAACGACGAGAGTGGGACAGCCGCGAGGTGGCATGAAGGTTGCAGCGAGAAGCGGCGAGAGACTGCGAAAAGAGATACGAGGAGGCAGACCCCCCAGGGTGGGCGACGGCTAGCGCATCACACCCTCCTCTCCTTAAAATCCCTGTGTGGTGGCGGCGTGCCGTTCTCCCATCCCTCCCTTGGGCCGTGTGTTTTTCTTTCTTTCTTTCGGGTTGTCAAATCACACCCAGGGCCGGGGAGCTAAGAAGCGCACCCAGCGGGCCGGATGGTCGGGTTTTTCCCTCTCTTCACCTGGCCGGCCCCTGCCCTGCCCCTACCTACCTACCTACCTACCTACCCTACTTATGGGAAACGAAAAAAGAAATCACTGGATGGGTGAAGGTGAGGTACTATACCAACTAAAGTGATGGTTGGTGGTACTCTCCTGCAACCACAGTCCTTCCTTTGACATGGCAGGCCACTCTCAAGCCCTACAAGCACCAGATCACCCACTTGGGGAGGGTTGGCATTGTGATTTGCGCGAAAATTTTCTTTTTCTGCTGTGCAAAAATTCCAGCGTGAAGAGAGGGGAAAACCCGACGGGAGGGCCAGCTACCTACCCCGGCATGAGTTCCGCCCAAGCAAAAAGAATACACACCTGGTATACCTGGGAAAACCCCGGTATTCTGCCGTTTCCTCGGTTTCGCCTCAGATTTTGCCCCAGCTCTCAGACTCACAGGGAGGGAAACTCGAGAGTTGCCAGAATGGAGCACAAAAAACACAAGAAATCACGACTCTCACAGTGATTTGGGCTCGGCAGCTTGTCAGCCCTCAGCCGAAGGGGGCCACGTCCCGTAGGCGTAGCCGGAGACACCCTCTAGTTTCCCTGGAAATTTCCGGAAACGCAAAGTGCTGGGGTCGTTCCTTTTTGGAAACATGGATGCAGGCTTGCACAACATGCACATGCACGTGCACATGTGTACATGTGCATGCAGCGCTTGAGAGTGGCTTGCCATGTCATACCCTCTCTGTCTAGTTTCTTTCTTTGTTTCCCTACTACAGTACCGTACGGAGTACCCTCTCGAGTCTCGTTGAGGCGCCCAAATCTCGCACCACCGAGCGTCGCTAGACGCTCAGCCGGCCACCGTCAGTCATTCCGGCCAGCCGGGAGGCCGGAGCGCGCGTCGTTGGAGCGCCTCCACCTGATTCTCGCCGCCCGAGTCCTCATTTCTCAAGCAGGAAGCAGTGAGCGGCCGCGCTCGTGCCAGCCGCGGCTGCCATGTCCAGGAAGCCGATTGTGGAGACCGCACCATCAACGCAGCGGCGGCGCAAAGGCTCTGGGCAGTGGCTCTCGAACGGAAAGAAGGCAGAGACCAAAGTCCCTCTTCAAGACACAGAAGCTCGCCCCTAAAGGTCAGGGTAGGCTCCGCCCCACTGCTCTCGAACGGGGATTCGGGAATTTATTTCGGCAGCTCGACGTCCGATGGGGATGATCCGGATACTCAAGGCGATGGACCCGTACGGGCGATGGCTGAGCTGCGCTGTGAGCCCGATGGCTTCGTCTGGGCGTCAGGCGTCCACCTTTAGGCCGAGCGCCGCCCGGCGCCGAGCAGCTTGCAGACAGCTGGCCTCTCCCTGGACGCTTATGGGACTGCTCGCCTGGCGGCTCTGGCTCTGACCCGCCGAGAGCTCTTTATGCGGGCCGAAATCGTCATCTTCGGCAATCGCGGTCGGGGTGGCCCCTCTGGGCTTCCGCAGATAGCCGCAGAGGTCACCTACGAGATGATGCTGTGCGCTGAGGATGCCATCGAGGCGGTGTTTGCCGTCGAGCGGAACATCACCTTCCTGCAGTCGCAGAAGATATCGAGAAAAAAGGCGATGGCGATGCTCCTGTGCGACATGATTGGCGCGCCGCTGCTGCTGCGTGACGAGGCGGAGAGCGCCGGCGCGCGAGTCGTCACTAGGCTGCGAGCGCTGAGGACGGCTGATGCGGCCGGCCTACAGGCAGAGGCGCGGGCGGCTCGCAAGGCCGACGAGGATCGCCAGGTGGCGGCGGTCATGGAGCGCGTCATCGACGTGGTGGAGCGGCGCGGCGCCGTGTACCCAGGCTTCCTCCCGGCGGCGAGCACCCCAGCGCTAGTTCCGCCCGCTGCGCCGACCCGCTCCCCCCCTAGCGTGATCGGGAACCACGAGGTGAAGGGGTTCGTGGATCGGGTCGTGGCGAGCGGCGGGAGCAGCAGCCGCCCGCCCCGCGACCCTCTCGCGACCGAGTTCCTCATAAGCCGCGTCCGCGAGCGAGAAGCAGGTGGAGGACCTCGAAAACAAGATGTGGGAGATGAAAAGCCGATCCGAGTCCGTCGACACCACGGCCTTCATGCAAACCAGGCTGTGGTTCGATCGGACCCGCTCGGCCGAGGTGGCTCATTCGCTCGCCGAATACAACTTCCGGCTCGCCGCGCTCTGCGCGGAGCGGCTCTACCAGGGCTGGTGGATGATGGTCGAGACGGCGTACGGCGCCGGGTGGCGCCCGCCCACCGAGCCGGACGAGGAGAAGGACGTGTGCGACCACCAGCGCTTCGCCTTCTTCGACCGGGGCCACGACTGCTGCAGCGGCGAGAGGCCCGAGTTCGACTGGGACCCAACCGAGCTACGCGATCGGATGGAAAAGGCGCTCGAACAGCCGTGCACGTGCCTCACGCTTCGCGTTGTCGGCGAGTGAGAGGCGTCTTCCGTGCCGGCCCGTCCCGCGGAGCGATTTTGGGCTATGTCTGAGGGTACGAGGTCGGGTTGGTGTCTAAATATTACATGTTTCGTAGTCACCCGAAGCCCCTACACCCCCATGGCCCTGGTGGCGCCGCTGGGAGCGCTGATATGGGCGGCACGGGGGTCCTGCCGTGTCGCCCAGTTCCGATCACAGTGGGGTGGAGCCAAGGAGCCTACCCTGGTATACCCCACACATTCCCCACATACCCCTCCACATACAGGTCAAGGGAGTCAAGGTCGTAAACATTATACACCGACGAACTCTCGCATGGACGGCCCATGGGGCCAGGCGCAGTCGCTATCGTTGCTTGCGGGTCCTGACATCCACGCTTGAGTCAGTGGATGGAAGTCTGAGCTGAGAGCGACCTGAGTAGAATTCAGGTTTCAGCGGCGCAGGCGCGGTGAGATAGCAGATTGGGCGCTCTAGTCACCAATCTCCAGTCTTCGACTGGGGGCACGGGACTGGCGCGCATGTGAGTACAGTAAGAAAGGCAAGGCGCAAAGACCGGGGGGGGGGGGGGGCACACGACACTCCGCCCTCCTCGAGATGCATGTATCACCCTGGTCTTGCCAAGACCGACTGAACCTACTTGTGCGCTGTTTCTCTACGTATGAAGGGAGTCACTTGTCCGAATACGAGTCGCCATATGAATCATGCGGAAGCGGCGGCGGCGGCGGTGGAGGAGGCGGCGGCGGAGGCGGCGGAGGCGGCAGAGGCGGCGGCAGAGGCGGCGGCGGCGGAGGAGGAGGAGGCGGCGGCGGCGGCGGCGGGTTGGGTGAGGGTGGCCGGCGGACGTACGAAAACATCTGGCGAAGGCAGTAGAGGGGCGCACCGGAAGGCCCGAAGGTAGACGTGGAGAAGCCCACCTGTCCGCAGGCGGGCCGCGTGAAGAGGGTGCCGCGCGCGCCTTGCCGTCGAGGTCCGTGGAACAACTTGTGCTCCTGTGTGACCGTCCCCTCCGCTTTTGCGTCCACCCATACCGCGCCGGTGTCCCAGCCGCGGCTCTCACCACTGCTGTGTCTACCCATCTCTCTGTCGAGATGGAGAGGCCAGCCTCGAGTGCCGAGATGTCGATGTACCATGGGATCGGCAGCTCGCGCGGCGTCACCACCGTCACCACTGACTGATGCCGACCCGGCGGCAGAGGGCAGTGGAAGCCGGCGCCCCAAGTCCCTCCCGCGCCCATCGGAAGCGTGGCCACGCCGGGCTCGCAGCTCGAGCCGGTCGCAGAGAAGGGGAAGCCGATGGTCTGCTCCTCAAAGTAGGTCGCGTTGGGCGCGCCGGCGGGCAGGTCGATCGTGAGCACGACGCTCATGTTGTAGCCGAGCGGCAGGGTCAGCGGAGGGTCGACCGCCGCTCCCGTCGCCTGCGGCAAGGCGGGGCGAGGGAAGGTGAGGTGAGGCAGGGGGGAGAAGGTGAGGGTGGGCCAGCGTGCAGCTGTGCCCATCACGGCCACTCTCGGGTGATCACGGTAATCTCGGCTTGACGGACAGTGTGCAGCACTGCGACGTCCACCACGCGTCCCGCGTACCGCTGCGGCGGGACCTCGTCGTCCAAAGGATCCTCCGTCGCCCACGCCGCATCGCGCACCGCTCGAGACACCGCCATGCTGTCGACGCCGCAGTCCTCCCATCGAATGGCGATGCGGTCGACGTCCTGCGTCTGAAAGAGGAGGTGGCCGTCCGGCTGAGGCAAAAATGTCGCCCTTTCAGTGAGAGCGGATGCGCCATAATGGCTTGCCACCGTCAAGAGGAGCAGAAAAGCGGTAACGGCGGCAATGAGTGGCGATGTACAGCGGCTCCTGTCACTGGCGCGGCCGCTGGTGATCATCAACAACAAAACCTGGTCGCGTCAGATCGGCCGCCGCGTCTCAACCAACGTGCCTCCACTGGTTGGGGCTCCCTTGCCTCATCACTGCTGTGGGAAACCAAAAAATTGCCGAAAAAGGCACCACCCGCCGCTACTCGCAAGCGACCTTTGAACGGCGCTTCACTTGAATGGCGCTCGCTTCGGCCGGCCTGCCGCCGCCGGTGCTCAACGCTGCCGCTGCCGAGGGCGCGGCGCGCGGCCGCGACGGCGCGCAAGAGGCCGATGATGGCCAGAGACTCGGCGTGAAGCGCCGCCTCGACGGCGAGCTCGCGAGCGCGCGCGTCAACGACGACGACGCCAAAGAAGGCGACACCATTATGGTGGACGCTGCACAGATGGCCGCTGCGGCGGCCGCCGGCACCGACCGCGGCACGAAGCGCCTGCTGCACGTCGCGCTCGCGGCGCGCGACGGCTCGCACATCCCGGACATCCAGAACAAGACGGCGCTCGTCACCGAGGTGCGCCAATTGATCAAGAAGACACCAGGCGGCGAGGCGCAGCAGGCAAGCGCGATCAGCGTGCCCATCATCGGCACGTCGCGCGCCATCTGCGTCGCCTTCAGCGGCGAGAGCGAGGCACGCGCCTTCCTCGAGCAGTACACCGGCGGTGGCGTCCTACAGCTCCCAGCGCCAGACAACATCACCATCACCTTCGCCGCTCTCGACGCCACCGTGTGGGGCAAGCAGGCGGAGGCGCGCGAGACCCAGGCGACCACGGACTCAGACGGCCTCCTCGCCATACGCACGCGCGGCGCCATCGACACCGCGGCCCAGATCGAGCACTTCGCCCCCCTCTTGGAGAAGCACTTCGGCAACATGGTCTCCATCCAGGAGGGATACCACTCCTTCCTGGGCACGAAGTCGGACGAGAAGGACGGCTCGATCCTCTTCAAGGTGAAGAACGAGAACCTCGTCTGCAACCTCCCGGTCCTGCCCAACGTCTACGCGAGCGGCGATGTCGGCGGACCCCTCCGCCTCGACGTCGGGTGCGTCAAGGTCCTCGGCAACAAACTCTGCCCCTCCTGCCGCGCATTTGGGTTGACCAACGCCGACATCATCCACGACGCGCAGTGCGCCGCGCAGGCGCTCAAGGAGAGGCGCGCCGCAGCGGCGAACGTCGCCAAGAAGAAGACCTTCGAGAGCCTCATCGTCGACAACAAGGTCGAGGTCGCGCGCGCGGCGGGCAAGGCCAAGGCGATGGCGGCGCGCGACGGGATCGGCTTCTGCCCGGCCTTCAACCAGACCGCCCTCCCGTGCAAGACCGCCGCTCGCTGCCGCTACGCGCCGTGCGTCAACTTCGAGGCGCTCCTCCACTCCGCCTTCAAGGACACTATCTACGAGCGCATGCCGAGCGCGGTCAGGCTGGGCACAAGCCGCGGGCGGCGCGGGCGCGGCGGCCGCGGCCGCTGCGGCGGCGGCGGCGAGGCCAAGAGCAACAAGAGGACTGGGCGAGCGTCGCC